GAATTTTGGGACTGGTTTATTGCAGAAAGATTAGAAACTCAATGAAACAAATTCTGGCTTTTCTGTACTGAAAAAGAAAGGTATATCACRTTACAAGGAATGTGAGTCAGTGGCTCTCAAACTTTCTTTGTTAAGTATCAGCTGTAATCCTATACAAACCTGAAGAAATGTAGCATTGCCATAAACAATACAAAAATATTAATGAAAATGTAGTTAAGAAAAGAAATCAACTGCCACTGAATAGAAACAAGCATAATTTTGCTATTCTGCAGGCCAATTTCTCATAAAAATTTCTTACATTTATTTTTTTGAAAGGGATTTTGCTGACTGTTTTTTGAGTAGTTTAAGAATAAGAACAACCAAAAAAGTTCTGGCAAATATTTTTTAGACAAATCAGCATTTTAGCACATTAAAAAATTCCCCAAAAGGATGATGCAACGTTCACATTTTAACAGATGTCTGAATATCAATATATAAGGGAACCTAAAGCATTTTATCAAACTAAATGCATGGTTTTCTACTGCTACTACTTTTGAAAATTCTAACACTGCAATTCATATCATCTATTCTGAAAGTAAAAACACATGATCATTCAGCATTAGAAATTGCCTTTTCATTTCTCTCTACTATTTTTGAGAAATGCTCATCCCATTTGAACACACACAACCTTTCAATTTTTCTGCTTTGCCAGGAATGAGGATATTCTCAACCTTCACAGAAATAAAACCAAAGACTTTCTYCTGGACCATAGAGCAGAAGCTGGGAAAACCAAGGTCCCATATGTGTTTCTTTGCTCATCTCTTATTTTTTATTCCCCTTCCCTCAGTGTCCTAATATTTAAAATTGCTGCAGTGTTACCTGCCAATACTTACAATATATTTACTGAATATTTTTGAAGAYAAATACAGTTTTTATATATTTTTGTCATAGTCTCCCTTTAAGGCCTTTCTCATCATKAAGCCAATCTGCCTGAATTTGAGCAGAAAGACAGCTTTAGTGATAGAAATTGTAGGAGTTTGTTACTGCAGCTCWAAATCCCAGGCAGTCTAAGTCAGAGAACCTCTCTCAAAGTCTGAAATCAGTGAGCCAGCAGTAACTAAAAATTTTATCTTCTGTTGATGGAGCTGCAATTCCTGCAGTATCTGACTCTCCAGCATAATTCATCTGAAGTCAATTAAAACCTCAATTTATTTGTGGYACGTCTGGCACTCCAGCACAAAGCAGCTGTTTCCAGGACTTCAGAACCCATTCCAATATTCTGATTTATAATCTGTTACAGGGCACCTAAGCCACAGGTCTGGGGAGGAGAGGATCGAGAAAAATKGATTCTAACTGAATTACTAGAAGAACTTTGCAGAAAAACCTGAAGATAAAAGCCTGACATTAATTCATTATACCAAACCTTAGGAGAGTTCAGGATATGTCTTAATGGTACAGAACAAGACGGTTTCATGTGAGGTGAGCCTGACTTAACTTCTTACACACCTGAAAATTAGCTGATGCTGCTTGTCAGTCCCTTACTAATGAATATTTTATATTGAAATTATCTCCTTCTTCAGTGGTCAGTGATAACAGAGCATTGTTTCTCTCCCTTGTGCTTATCAGGCAAGATAATTTATGGGGTTTTGTTCCTTTTTTACCACACCCTTCAGTACACTCAGATTGCATTGTATATATGTATATATATTGCATTATATATAGGGAAAATAGAAGGGATTTTTGTCCAGCATGGGCTGCATTTACATTAAAATGCCATGAACATGGTGATGTTATGTGCTTAAATAGCCAAAGTTCATTTACTGATYACCCAAATATTGTCTTTTAGAGACATAATTACAGTCCCTTCACAACTGTGATGTTTTAAATTTATATCTGCTTCAAACTGTGTCATTAGTCCACCCACTTGTCATACAGACATCTAAAAAATAATAAGGATAAAACAGATCCATTTGACAATGACAATTTTAATACMATCTCGGTGTTTCAATTAAAAGTGAATAGATATGGAGAATGTAGATAATTACAGCACATCCCCTCAGGCACAAAGACTGAAAAAAAAAATCCAAACAGTCTGTCAGCCTGATTCCCATGCTGGCTTCTGTTTCTGTAAGCAGCCAGACCCCAGGCTGCCAAATGCCTTTTGTGATGTTGAGGCAGTGACAATAATTCAGGAGGTAAAAAAATGACCCTGTCAGGTGAGAAAGTTCCTCACAACTCCTGATACTCTGGATTTCACACGTGTACTTGTGATCTTGGCATTGTCCTCCAGGCTTCTTGCACAACAGCATGAATATCACAGATTATGCATTGATATATAAAGAGATACTTAAATTATTGATCTATAAAAGGATACATGTTCATAGCCTTTATGCAAAGCTTCAGACACGGCTTCTGAGAAMAGCACAACATAAAATTTCACCCCGGCACTGGTGAGCATTGAAAGCCTGGCTGGGCTTCTTGGGGGTAGATCAATCCTGACTTGCAATTGTGAATTAAAGCAGTGGAATCATTCTCAGGCTTTGACATTTACAGGTGGAAAATAGGGGTAGAAAATGAGCCTAAATAGATAAAACATCCATCTTTGAAGCAAAGTCTATAAATTTCCCTAGTACCACAGATAGTAAATGGACAGCTGGGAGCAAGAAGAGATGGAGGACAGGAGGACATCAATATAACATACACTCTGTAATGCTTGAAATTTGAGATGTAATTTATATTTTTTTGGTCTTTTTTAGTATCTTAAAAAAGAATTGTCATCCTTTAGTTTTAGAGACATGAAACAGTTTGGGACAATGTAATAATTAGGCATGAAATATTTCAGGACAATACCATTATTTTTTAAAAGTGGCACTGTCTTTGTCTTGGCTTTGTCCTATAATTAGTGTTTGCTAAAATGTGCTGAGCTTAGGAGATGGCCCTGGATTTTGCGATATGACAAAGAAGCTGGAGCATGAACTGCTCAGCTCTTGGCCAGTGGAGTGAAGCTTTGTGGTCTGGAGTTTCACATCTGTGGTCCTTGGGTTTTTTCAGCTGGGGATCAAACATCCCACCTGGAAACACTCCCTTGACAGCTACATATGATTCACTTCAAAGGAAACTGAGCAAAAAAGATGAATATTGAATGGTCTTGTTCTCTTCTCAGAGCCCACATGTGGCAGAGRTATATGTTGGAGGAACAACTTTGGAAAAAAATTAGATTTGTCCTAAGTTGTATTTGAAGGCTTTAATTATCTGAGCATCTTCCTGCAGCAGTTTGCACACACACCATAAATGCCAGATGGAGTTTACTGAACACAGATGATTGCACTTCACAAAACAGTTTCTTTCCATCTGAYTTCACTATCTAATTGCAAATAGGCAGGTAGACTGAGAAAGTAGGTGGCAGGARGAAAGGAGGAGGAAATTCACATGTAACCCTGGCTGAAAACTGCACTGACACCCTGTGCACCCTGATTTGCTCAAGCCACCCACAGATGTGTCCCTGATGTGACAGATTCATCCAATGGTTCATTTTCAGCTGCATTTTAAGAAGAGAGCAAACAAATATCTGACACAGCAATACACCCCTGGCTGGACCACAGACCATTTGCTATTGAGGGACCCTTGCATTCCAGGAAYATTTAGTTTATAATGCTGTCACTAYACTGAGAATGAAAACTGCTTTCTCCTACTAGTGCCTCTTAATATTAACCATGGCAGATCTGCACAGACAGTTTTCTAAAGTGGTATACACTGAGTATTTTTAACTACATGGCAAAGTTTATCAGAGGGCAAAGAAAACACTGAAAGGTCATGTAAAGAATAGTCTTTATGCCTGGCAAACTATGAAGGTATGATTGATAAATAAGTATCTGTAAATGTATGTGTATATAATGTGTAAGAAAACAGCCAGGATTTCTTTACTCATTTCTCAATGTTATTTTATTTCAGTCATGAAGAAGGCAGCATGTAAAGCACTGGAATTATTGATTGTTCTTGTCAGTGTTCAGGAACAAAGGAAGCCCTAGAAAACCACATGGAGATAGTGCTGATATAGTCTAATYTGGTTTGAAAAGTGAAGATGAAATGATTATGATGAGCAATGCAAATTACACTTGACTGAGATACTGGATATTCACATCCCTTTGTCTAAGTTGACAAAATCCACTTTGGAATAGCATTGAAATGATCAACCCGGTATCCAAGTTTAATACACATATTATCATAGAGCTAAAGGCTTCCACGAAAAAATGGAAGTGTTACTCAGGTGACAATCAGATGAGCTTTTTTTTTTTTTGCTTTATTCAAGTTTTTACTGTGTTAGAGGTACAAGAGCAGGTATAAATGACACACCCTTGAAGAACAGTTGTATCAGTATGCTCCAATCAGACGTGTCCCTTCATTCTAGAAGACACATAAAAATATGATGGGTAGGATTTTTTTTTCTACTGTGTGGGAGCTAAATCAGCAGTGCAACTAAAACTGCTCAAAGCACATATTGTGCCAAACTAACTCAGGCCTTAATTGTGATACTCTTACATATCCAGAAGAAAGAAACTGAGCCAAGACTTTTGCATGGTTTAAGAAAAGTAATCTACCCACACCAACCATTCTTTTTCCCTTCTATCTTCTTTGAGATATGAATTTAAAAATAACTGTGATGAGCTTCTGTTTTTTGTGAGCATCTCTGGCCTYTCTGCAACACAGCTTCAGGGACTCCATCACCAGATTTCAGCCTTTGTCACAACCAACGAGAGTTTCAAAAGGGTAAAGGAACACAGGAACTCACCCTTGTGGTGTAAGCAGCTTCTGGGTCRTCCTCCAGCACACGAGAGAGCCCAAAATCAGAGACTTTGCACACCAGGTTGCTRTTGATSAGAATGTTACGAGCAGCTAAGTCCCGATGGACATAACCCATATCCGACAGGTATTTCATGCCAGACGCGATCCCCCGGAGCATGCCCACCAGCTGGATGACTGTGAACTGGGCATCATGTTTCTGRAAAACATTGCAAATGTCATTTCAGGGATTGCTCAGGTTCCTCCTTGCACAGATTTTTTGATAAACACCCTGGAAGCTCCTCAAATGAAGAGCTCGTGAATCAGGCACTGTGATTTAAATGCTGCAGGTGGAACCATGTTGATCTCCCAATCAGCTGAGGGAAGGGGACAGATTTGCAATTCAGATAAAAATTCATTTTTCCCTTTCTTGCTGTCATCAGAGTTTTAATTTCTGAGATGGGACACGTGTGAAAGCAGCACATAAATCTAAGTTGGTTGTGCTCCTGAGACTGGAGTATCAGAAYATGAGAGAAACAGATGTCCAACTTCCCTGCAAGGCCATTGGATTTTTCAGTGAAAATCCAAGCCTTC